GGTAGCTTTCACGCATCATCAATGGGGAAACAGCAGCTGTCAGACAAACGAATATCAGACAAAACATAACAGACACAGCAATGGGGATTAACAGCAGTACAACAGGGATACTGCGAATATCAGACACAGCGGACGGTCGCGATAACAAGTGAATACCGGGGATGTTAATACTGTATTGCAGCAAATACCAGAGACAATATGGTCACCGGGGATAATGTTGACGGTCAGACACAGTGAATACTGGTATTTATGAAGCCATCGGAATTTAACAGCAGCTACTGGGGAGCAGCTTTAGCCATCCAGTGAATATCAGATAAGTCATCAGATACCATAGGTCAGACACCACTGCAGGTCAGACACATGAAATCTACGGGGAGCCGCTATGAATGGGGATACCAGCGAATACCGCGGGATACCGCGAATAATACCGCACAACCGAATAACAGGGGACAATATGAAGGGGGGCTGAAGAAAGAAGGCTGGGGGACACAGGGTCAGACAAATGAGAAGCTAAGAGACACAGTGAGTGAAGGCTGTGAAGCACAGTGAAGGCTGGGGAGCACAGTGAAGGCTGGGGAGAACAGTGAAGGCTGGGGGAGCACAGGAAGGTTGGGTGCTGGGGGAGCAAAGTGAAGGCTGGGGGAGCACAGTGAAGGGGCTGAGAAGCACAGAAGGCTGGGAGAGTGCAGTGAAGGGTTGGGGAGCACAGGAAGGCTGGGGAGAACAGTGAAGGCTGGGGGAGCACAGTGAAGGCTAGGGAGCAAAGTGAAGTGAGGAGCAAAGAAATGGCTGGGGAGCACAGTGAAGGCTGGGGAGCACAGTGAAGGCTGAAGACATTGAAGGCTGGGGGACAGTGAAGGCTAGGGACACAGAAGGCTGGGGATAAAGGAAGGCTGGGACAGAAATATTGGGGAGCACAGCAAGGCTGGGGAGCAAAGTGGAGGGCTGGGGAGCACAGGGTGAAAGCACAGTGAAGCCAAGAGAAGGCTGGGGAGCACAGTGAAGGCTAAGGTACAGTGAAGGCTGGGAAGCAAGTGAAGGCTGGGAGCAAAGGCAAGGCTGGGGGAGCAAGTGCAGGCTGGGAAGCAAAGTGAAGGCTGGGGAGCAAAGTGAAGGCTGGGAAGCAAAGTGCAGGCTGGGAAGCAAAGTGGAAGGCTGGAAGCACAGTAAAAGGCTGGGAAGCACAGTAAAGGCTGGGAGCACAGTGAAGGTTGGAAGTCACAGTGAAGGCTGGGGACCAAAGGAATGCTGAGCAAGTGAAGACTGGGACAAAGTGACACTGGGGACACAGGAAGGCTGAGAGCACAGTGAAGGCTGGGGACACAGTGAAGGCTGGGGAGAAATAGTGAAGGCTGAGAAGACAGTGAAGACTGGGGAGGAAAGTGAAGGTTGGGAGCAAAGTGGGGGAGTAGAAAGGCTGGGAGGAAAGTGAAGGCTGGGAACATAGGAAGGTTGGGACACAATAAAGAAGGAAAGGGGGAGCAAAGTGAAGGTTGGGGAGCACAGTGTAGGCTGGGAGCACAGTGAAGTCTGGGGAGCACAGAAGGTTAGAGAGAAAGTGAAGGCTGGGGAGCAAAGTAAAGGCTGGGGAGCACAGTAAAGGCTGGACACAGTGAAAGCTGGGAAGCACAGGAAGGCTGGGGACAAAGACATTGGGGAGAAATGTGAATAGGGGAGTAAGACAAAGGAAGGCTGGAAGCACAGCAGCTGGGGACAAAGTGAAGGCTGGGGACAGTGAATGATGGGAATAAAGTGAAGTAGACAAAGTGAAGGCTGGGGAGCAAAGGAATACTGGACACAGTGAAGGAAGGGAAGCACAGTGAAGGTTAGGGGACCAAAGTGAATGCTAGAGCAGGCGACTAGACAGTGAACATTGGGGAGTGAAGAAGCTGAGAAGCTAACAGGAAGGCTGGGGACAGTGAAGCTGGGGACACAGTGAAGGCTGGGGAGCATGAAGGCTGGGGAGCAAAGGAGGCTGGGAAAGAAGGCTGGGGAGCAAAGGAAGGCTGCAAAGGTATTGGAGCAAAGAAGGCTGAGCAGGAAGGATGGGAAGCAAAGTGAAGGTTGGGGAGCAAAGTGAAGGCTGGGGAAGCAAAAGATTGGCATAGAAGGAAGGAAGGCCAGTGAAGGTTGGGACCAAAGTGAATGCTGGGGGACAAAGTAAGACTGGGGAAGAAGGTGGGGACAGTAAAGGCTGAGAAACACAGGAAGGCTGGGGAGCACAGTGAAGGCTGTGAGAACAGTGAAGGCTGGGGAGAAGAAGGCTGAGGTAGCGTGAAGACTGGGGAGCAAAGCTGGGGAGCAAAGTAAGGCTGGGGAGCACAGAAAAGGCTGGGGAGGAAAGTGAATACAGGAACAGTGAAGGCTGGGAGCACACAAAGTTTAGAGGAAGTGGGGAAAGTGAAGGCTGGGGAGAAGGCTGGGAGCACAGTGTAGGCTGGGAGCACAGTGAGGTCTGGGGAGCACAGTAAAGGTTAGAGAGCAAAGTGAAGGCTGGGAGCAAAGTAAAGGCTAGGGAGCACAGTAAAGGCTGGGGAGCACAGGAAAGGAAGCACAGTGAAGGCTGGGGAGCAAAGTAAGGCTGGGGGAGCAAATGAAGGCTGGGGAGCAAGTGAAGCCTGGGGAGCACAGTAAAGACTGAGAAACACAGAAGACTGGGGAGCGCAGTGACGGATGGGGAGAAGAGGAAGAAACAGAGGAAGGCTGGGGAGCAGAAGGCTGTGGAAGGTAAGACTGGGGAGCACAGTGAAGGCTTGGGGACACAGTGAAGGCTGTGAAGCAAGACTGGGAGTGTGGGATGGGGAAGGAGAAACAGTGGCTGGGGAAGGAGCAGTGAAGGAAGCAAAGTGAAGACAGTAACGGATGGGGAGAAGAGGAAGGAGAAACAGAGTGAAGGCTGGGGGAGCAAAGGAAGGCTGGGGAGCACAAAGGCTGAGAAGCACAGTGAAGACTGGGAGCGCAGTGGATGGGGGAGAAGAGGAAGGCTGAGAAACAGAGTGAAGGGGGACAAAGGAAGTGGGGAGCACAGTGGGCTAGGAGCACAGTGAAGCTGTGAAGCAGTGAAGGCTGGGGAGCACAGTGAAGGCTGGGGGAACAGTGAGGAAGGCTGGAAGCAAAGTGAAGGTTGGGGATCGTACACAGTAACAGCGAATAAAGAGGACAGCAACAGTGAAGGCTGATGACAGCTGATCTATCAGATAACAGCGAATACTGATAATTTAAGCGAAGGTCAGACAATTAAGTGAATAGATACCGCGAATAACAGACAAATGAATATCAGACAAAGCATTACAGATAAGCAATAGGGATTAACAGCAGTCAAAGGAATAATGCGAATATCAGACAAGCTATGGTAGCGATAACAAGTGAATACCGGGGATGCGTATTGCCAAATACCAGAGACATATGTCACCGGGGATAAGTTGACGACAGACACAGCGAATACGGATATGAACCAGGAATTAACAGCAGCTAATGGGGATAGAGCATCAGTGAATAACAGATAAGTCCAGATATAGGTCAGACAACAGTGCAGTAGACACATGAAATCTGGGAGCCCTGAATGGGGACACAGTGAATACTGGGGATACAGTGAATAATACCGCACAATGAATAGCTGGGACAATGTGAAGAGTTGTTAAGAATGAAGGCTGGGGACAAGGGTCAGACAAATGAGAAGCTAAGAGACACAGTGAAGTGAATGCTGAGAAGCACAGTGAAGGTGGGACACAGTGAAGGCTGGGGAGCACAGTGTAGGCTGGGGGACAAAGGAAGGCTAGAGCAAAGTGCTGGGGGAGCAAAGTGAAGGTTGGGGGAGCACAGTAAAGTGGCTGAGAAGCAAGAAGACTGGGGACAAAGTGAAGGCTGGGGAGACATGAAGGCTGGGGAGAACAGTGAAGGCTGGGGACACAGAAAGGCCAGAGAGGTGGGGAGCAAAGAAATGGCTGGGGATCACAGTAAAGGCTGGGGAGCACAGTGAATGTTGGGGAGACATTGAAGGCTGGGGGACAGTGAAGGCTAGGGAGCACAGTGAATAAAGAAGGCTGGAAGAGAAATATGGGGACACAGAATGGTTGGGGAGCAAAGGAGGGCTGGGGAGCACAGAATGCTGAAAAGACAGTGGACATAGGGAAGGCTGGGGAGCACAGTGAAGTAAGGTACAGTGAAGGCTGGGAGCAAAGTGAAGGCTGGGAGCAAAGTGAAGGCTGGGGGAGCATGCAGGCTGGGAAGCAAAGTGAAGGCTGGGGACAAAGTGAAGGCTGGGAAGCAAAGTGCAGGCTGGGAAGCAAAGTGGAAGGTGGAAGCACAGTAAAGGCTGGGAAGCACAGTAAAGGCTGGGATCACAGTGAAGGTTGGCTGTCACAGTGAAGGCTGGGGACCAAAGGAATGGAGAGCAAAGTGAAGACTGGGACAAAGTGAAACTGGGGACACAGGAAGGCTGGGAGTACAGTGAAGGCTGGGGACACAGTGAAGGCTGGGGAGAACAGTGAAGGCTGAGAAGACAGTGAAGACTGGGGAGTTAAGTGAATGTTGGGGACAAAGTGGGGGAGTAGAAAGGCTGGGAGGAAAGTGAAGGCTGGTGAACATAGGAAGGCTGGGATACAATAAATAATGAAAGGGGGAGCAAAGGAAGTTGGGGAGCACACTGTAGGCTGGGAACACAGTGGTCTGAGGACACAGAAGGTTAGAGAGCAAATTGAATACTGGGGACAAAGCAAAGGCTGGGGAGCACAGTAAATGCTAGACACAGTGAAAGCTGGAAGACAGTGAAGGCTGGGGACAAAGTGAGGGGATAAATGTGAATATGGGGATGAGTTACATGAAGGCTGGAGCACAGCATTTTGATAGAGTGAATGTTGAGGAATATTGTGAAGTAACAGTGAAGGCTGGGGATTATGAATAATGGACACAGTGAATGAAGGGGATCATAGTGAAGGTCTGTAGACTAAAGTGAATGCTGGAGGGGACTAAAGTGAATATTTGGGGATATGAAAGAGGCTGAGGGCTACAGTAAGGGTGGGACAGTGAAGGCTGGGGCACAGTGAAGGCTGGGGAGCATGAAGACTGGGGAGCATAGGAAGGTGCTAAAGAAGGCTGGGGAGCATAGGAAGGCTGAGGGGAGCAAAGAAGGCTGAGCAGGAAGGATGGGAGCAAGGAAGGCTGGGGATCAAAGTGAAGGCTGGGGAGAGGAAAGCTTGGAGACAGAAGGAAGGGAAGAACAGTGAAGGCTGGGACCAAAGTGAATGCTGGGGGACAAAGTAAGGCTGGGGACAGTGAAGGCTGGGGACAGTGAAGGCTGGGAAGCACAGTGAAGGCTGGGGAGCACAGTGAAGGCTGGGGTGGAACAGTGAAGGCTGGGGGAGAAGAAGGCTGAGGCTAGAGTGAAGGCTGGGGAGCAAAGCTGGGGAGCAAAGTAAGGCTGGGGAGCACAGAAAAGGCTGGGGAGGAAAGTGAAGACTGGAACAGTGAAGGCTGGGAGCACAAGTTTGAAAGTGAGTGGGGACAAAGTGAAGGTTGGGGAGCACAGGCTGGGGGCACAGTGTGGGCTGGGAGCACAGTGAAGGCTGGGGAGCACAGTAAAGGCTAGAGAGCAAAGTGAAGGCTGGGGAGCAAAGTGAGGCTGGGGAGCAAAGTGAAGGCTGGGAACAAAGTGAAGGCTGGGGAGCAAGTGAGGCCGGGGACAAAGTGAAGCCTGGGGAACTGATAAAGGCTGAGAGAACAGAGTGAGGTGGGGACAAAGAAGGCTGGGGAGCCAAAGTGAAGGCTAGGGATCAAGTGAGGACTTGAGACAAAGTGAAGCTGGGGAGCAAAGTGGGAGTCTGGGGACAAGAAGTGAAGGCTGGGAGCACAGTAAGGTTGGGGACCAGTGAGAGGCTGGGGGCAGTGAAGGCTGGGAGAGCTAGTGAAGCTGGGGAGCAGAAGTGAAGGCATGGGGAGCAAAGAGTGAAGGAGGATGGGAACAAAGTGAAGGATGGGGAGCAAGTGAAGATTGGGGAGCAGTATGAGGGAGCAAAGTGATGGCTGTAGGAACAGGGTTGAAGGCTGGGGTGCATGAAGGCTAGAGCACAGTGAGACTGGGGCAAGTGAGGCTGGGGAGAACAAAGTGAAAGGCTGGGAGGACAGTGTAAGGCTGGGTTGCACAATGAAGGCTGGGGGAGCAAAGTGAGAAGACTGGGGAGAAGTGAAAGGCTGTGAGGAGACAAAGTGAAGGCTGGGGAGCAAAGAGAGGCTGGGGAGCAAGAGTTAAGGCTGGGACTCAGAGTGAAGGCTAGAAGCACAGTGAGAGGTGGGGGAGCAAAGTGAGGCTGGAGAGCAAAGTGAAGCTGGGAGTCAGGGAGCAAAGTGAAAGGCTGGGGAGCAAAGTGAAGGCTAGGGAGCAAAGTGAAGGCTGGGGAGCAAAGGTGAAAGCTGGGGAGCACAGTAAAGGATGAGGCAAGTGAGATGGGACCACAGTGAGGCTGGGGATGCGAAGGTGAGGCTGGGGAGCACAGTGAGGCTGGGAGCAAAGAGTGGAGGCTGGGGAACACAGTGAAGGCTGGGGAGCAGTGAAGGCTGGGAGCAAAGGCTGGGAGCTGGTGAGGCTGGGGCCTGGTGTGGGCTGGGGAGCAGTGTGGGCTGGGGAGCGCAGTGAAGGCTGGGGAGCACAGTAAAGGCCTAGGGAGCCTAGTGAGCCGGGAGCACAGTGGATAGGCGATGAAGGCTGGAGCACAGTGAAGGCTAGGAGCACAGTGAAGGCTGGGGAGCACAGAGGTGAAGGCTGGGGAGCACAGCAGAGGCTGCAGAGAACAGTAAAGGCTAGGAAGCACAGTGAGGCTGGGGAGTGTAAAGGCTGGGGAGACAGGCTGGGGAGCCTGGTGGGTGGTAAAAGGCTAGAGAGCCTGTATGAAGGCTGGGAGCAAAGAAAAGCCTGGGAGCACAGTAAAGGCGCTGGTGAGTGGGCAGTGAAGGCTGGGAGCACAGTGAAGGCTCCAGGCAAAGTGAAGGCTGGGGGCACAGTGAAGGCTGGGGAGGCTGATGGCTGGGAAGCTGGTGGAGGCTGGGAGCACAGTGAAGGCTGGGGGGCAAAGTGAGGCTGGGAGCAGTAAAGGCTGGGAGCACAGTGAGGCTGGGGAGACACAGTGAGTGCTGGGGAGCACAGTGGGGCTGGGGAGCCTGGTGAGGCTGGGGAGCACAGTAGGCTGGAGCACAGTGAAGGCTGGGAACTGAGTGTGGGCTGGGGAGCACAGTGAGGCTGGGGCAGTAAAGGTGAGGCAGTGGGCTGGGGGAGCAGTGAGGCTGGGAGCCTGGTGAGGCTGGGGGACAGTGGGGCTGGGAGCACAGTGGGGCTGGGGCACAGTGAGAGCTGGACAGTGGGGCAAGGCCTGGTGGGCTGGGACTGGTGTGGGCTGGGGCAGTGGGGCTGGGGGCACAGTGAGGCTGCGGGCTGGTGGGCACAGTGGGAGGCTGGGGACAGTGGGGCTGTGGACAGTGAAGGCTGTGGAGCTGGTGAGGCTGGGAGCACAGTGAGAGGCTGAGCGAGGCAAAGTGAGGCTGGGGAGCCTGGTGGGCTGTGGGAGCTGGTGAGGCTGGGAGCAAAGTGGGGCTGGGAGACAGGTGGAGGGGCTGGGGGCACAGTGAAGGCTGGGGAGCAAGTGAAGGCTGGGGAGCACAGTGGGGCTAGGGGAGCAGTGAAGGCTGGGGAACAGTGGTTGCAGGTGGAACTGGTGAAGGCTGGGAGCACAGTGAAGGCTGGGGAGCAGTAAAGGCTGGAACACAGTGAAGCTGGGAGCACAGTGATGGCTAGAACAGTGAAGGCTGGGGACACAGTGAAGGGCTGGGAGCACAGTAAGGCTGGGGGGTGGGGAGTGAGGCTGGGGAGCACAGTGAGGCTGAGAAGCACAGTGAAGGCTGGGGAGGAGCTGGTGAAGGCTGGGAGCTGGTGGGCTGGGGAACTGTGGGCTGGGGGCACAGTGGATGGGTGGGGAGGCCTGGTGAAGGCTGGGAGCATGGTGGGAGCTGTGGGCACAGTGAAGGCTGGGGAGCACAGTGAAGGCTGGAGAGCACAGTGAAGGCTGGGGAGCACAGTGAAGGCTGGGAGCAGCTGAGGCTGGGGAGCAAAGTGAAGGCTGAGAAGCAGAGTGAAGGCTGGGAGCACAGTGGAAGGCTGGGGAGCAAAGTGAGAGGCTGAGAAGTGGAGAAGAAGGCTGGGGGAGCACAGTGAGGCTGGGGAGCACAGTAAAGGCTGAAAGCTCATGAAGACTGGGGAGCGCAGTGAGGCTGGGAGGCTGGTGAAGGCTGGGGAGCAAAGTGAAGGCTGGGAGCAAGAGATTAGGCTGGGGGAGCAAAGTGAGAGGCTGGGAAGCACAGTAAAGGCTGGGGAGCAAAGAGTGAAGGCTGGGGAGCACAGTGAAGGCTGGGGAGCACAGTGAGCTGGGGAGCAAAGTGAAGGCTGGGGAGCAAAGTGAAGGCTGGGGAGCAAAGTGAAGGCTGGGGGAGCAGAGAAGGCTGGGGAGCAAAGTGAAGGCTGGGGAGCAAAGTGGAGGCTGGGGAGCAGAGTGAGAGCTAGACTGTGGTGAAGGGAAGCACAGTGAAGGCTGGGGACCAAAGTGAAATGCTGGGGAGCAAAGTAGACTGGGAGCAAAGGAAGGCTGGGGAGCACAGTGAAGGCTGGAGGAAGCACAGTGAAGCTGGGAAGCACAGTGAAGGCTGGGGAGGAAGACAAGTGGGGACAGCAGGCTGGGGAGCAAAGTGAAGGCTGGGGAGTGAAGCAAAGTGAAGGCTGGGGGGAGCAAAGGCTGGGGACAAAGTGAAGGCTGGGAAGCAAAGGAAGGCTAGACAGTGAAGGCTGGGAGCAAAGTGAAGGGGACATGGAAGGGAAGCACAGTGAAGGCTGGGGACCAAAGTGAATGCTGGGGAGCACAGTGTAGGCTGGGGAGCACAGAAGTCTGGGGGAGCACAGTAAGTTAGGGAGAGCAAAGGAAGGCTGGGGAGCAAAGTGTAGGCTGGGGACACAGTGAAGTCTGGGGATACAGCAAAGGCTAGGAGCAAAGGAAGGGGGGAGCAAAGTAAAAGGCTGGGGACACAGTGAAGGTTGGAGCACAGATGAAGGGAAGCACAGGTGAAGGCTGGGGGACCAAAGTAATGCTGGGGAGCAAAGTGAAGACTGGGGACAAAGTGAAGGCTGGGGGAGCAAAGTGAAGGCTGGGGAGCAATGTAAGGCTGGGACAGTTAAGGCTGGGGAGCAAAGTGAAGGCTGGGAAGCACAGTAAAGGCTGGGGAGCAAAGTGAAGGCTGGGGAGCAGAAGGATGGGGGACAAAGTGAAGCTGGGGAGCAAAGAAGGCTGGGGAGCAAAGGAAGGCTTTGGAGCACAGTGAAGGAAGGGAAGCACAGTGAAGGCTGGGGACCAAAGTGAATGCTGGGGAGCAAAGTGAAGACTGGGGAGCAAAGTGAAGCTGGGGAGCACAGTTAAGGCTGAGAAGCACAGTGAAGGCGGGGACACAGTGAAGGCTGGGGAGCACAGTGAAGCTGGGGAGCAAAGTGAAGGCTGGGGACAAAGTGCAGGCTGGGAAGCAAAGTGAAGGCTGGAAGCAAAGGAAAGGCTGGGGAGCAAAGGAAGGCTGGGGAGCACAGTGAAGGATGGGAAGCAAAGTGAAGGCTGGGGAGCAAAGGAAGGCTGGGGAGCAAAGTGAAGGCTGGGAGCACAGTGGAAGAAGGAAGTACAGGAAGGCTGGGGACCAAAGTGAATGCTGGGGAGCACAGTGTAGGGCTGGGGAGCACAGGAAGTCTGGGGAGCACAGTAAAGGAGCAGGCTGGGGAGCACAGTGTAGGCTGGGGAGCACAGAAACCTGGGGAGCACAGTAAAGGTTAGAGAGAAAAGTGAAGGCTGGGGAGCAAGTAGTTGGGAGACAGCAGCAGAGACACAGTGAAAGCTGGGGAGCACAGAAGGCTGGGGAGCAAAGTGAAGGCTGGGGAAGTGATGGCTGGGGAGCAAAAGGAAGCCTGGGGAGTACAGTAAAGACTGGAGAAACACAAAGGAAGGCTGGGGAGCAGTGAAGGCTGGGGAAGCAAAGTAAGCACAGTGAAGAAGGGGGAGCACAGTGAAGGCTGTGAAGCAAAGTGAAGACTGGGGAGCGCAGTGACGGATGGGGGAGAAGAGTGAAGGAGAAACAGAGTGAAGGCTGGGGAGCAAGGAAGGCTGGGGAGCACAGTGAAGGCTGTGAAGCAAAGTGTAGACTGGGAGCGCAGTAACGGATGGGGAGAAGAGTGAAGGCTGGAGAAACAGAGTGAAGGCTGGGGAGCAAGTGAAGGGGAGCAAGGTAGTAAGGATGAGAGAGCACAGTGAAGACTGGGGAGCGCAGTGACGGATGCATTAAAGATGAAATAATGATAAAACAGATGGAAATTATCAGACAGCTGAAGCATTGTGACACAGAAATAGGACATTGCGGAATGTGAATAGCTGTAACAATAGACAATATGAATATCAGACATCAGTGAATAATGTGAACAGCTTAGGTCATCAGATTACTGTTTAATATCAGAATAAAATGAATACTGGGGACATCAACAAAATAACATGACAGCTGATTTAACAGTATTTACCATGAATAATGATATTTATGAATAGACACATCATTGAATAATAGATAATATATACCTAGATACTGTTGAATACTGTGAATAAAAGGAATAATTGTATCATGAATACCAGATACTGTTTTAACAGATAATATGAATAACAGACAATATGAATATCAGATGCTTTTAATATCAACGAGGTATCAGATACCAAGAGCGTCATCAGATATACTTTAACATCATGAACCATCAGTGAATAACAAAGACAACAACAAAGTCGCCAGAATGAGCTTAATAACAGATGCGCTGAATATCAGACAACAGCGGTATCAGACAACAGCAGAGTATCAGAGCCACTGCGAGTCCAGATACCGGCAAATAGATATCGCACGCGAAATACCGATATTGCGCCAGCCATCAGACAACAGCAGGCTACCAGACACAGCGAGTACCGGTACCAATATGAAGGCCCAGACAAGCCCAGGGTCAGACAAACGAAGCCAGTGATTGCGTCAATACCGTGACGTTTTAGCTACCGTGGGAAATTAACAGCAGCCAACAGTATTTTTAATACCGGCATTAAGAATGATCAGATGCGCTTTTAATAACAGTATCGCGCCGAATACCGTATCGAAAGGATATCAGACAGTGAAGGAAGGAAGCCACTATGAAGGACAGACTGTAAAGTGAATGCTGGGGGGATAAAGTGAAGACTAGACATGGGGGACATGAAACATATGATAATAACAGTGAATATTAGAATACAGTGAATATTGGGGACACACAGACAGTGAAGGCTGGGGACAAGTATATTGGGAAGCAAAGAATATTGGGGAGCAAAGTGAATATTGGGAAGCACAGTAAAGGTCAGACAGTGAAGGTATTAACAGTGAAGGATGGGCTAAAGGAAGGCTGGGGAGCAAAGTGAAGCTGGGGACAGAGTGTAGGCTTTGGGAGCCAGTGAATGATGGAAGCTAAGAGTGGATGCTGGGTGATGCGGACAGTAGGGCTGGGGGAGCAAAGTAAGGATGTGTAAGGGCAAATGTTTGAAGGAGGGGAGCACAGTGTAGGCTGTGGAGCAGAAGTGAAGAGGGGGAGCTGTCAGATATTTTAGGCTGGCTGGGGACAGTGAGCTATGGGGACATGAGTGAATGCTTCTTGTAACAGTGAATGGCTGGAGCACAGTGAATGATGATTGAATGTCAGTATGGCTGGGGAGGCTTTGACAGTGAAGTGAAATATCAGTGAAGGTGGGTAGCAAAATAAAAGGCTGGTGTGGAATAGTGATTGCTGTTGTCTAGTGAAGGATTGAGATGCTGAGTAATGATTTGGGGATAAAAGGAATGCTGGGGATAAAAGTGAAGGCTGGGGAGCAAAGTGAAGGCTGTGAAGCAATATGAAGGAAGCACAGTGAAGGCTAGACCAAAGTGAAGGCTGGGGAGCAAAGTGAAGACTGGGGACAAAGTGAAGGCTGGGGAGCAAAGTGAAGGCTGAGACACAGTGAAGGCTGAGAAGCATGTAAAGGCTGGGGAGCACAGTGAAGGCTGGGGACACAGTGAAGGAAGGAAAAGTGCAGGAAGCAAAGTGAAGGCTGGGGAGCAAAGTGAAGGCTGGGAGCACAGTAAAGGTGGGGAGCAAAGTGAAGGCTGGAGCACAGGAAGGCTGGGGAGCAAAGTGAAGGCTGGGGGAGCAAAGTGAAGGCTGGGGAGCAAAGGAAGGCTGTGAAAGGGAGCACAGTGAAGGCTCAGACAAAGTGAAGGCTGGGGAGCAGTGAAGGCTGGGGAGCACAGTGTGAAGGCTGTGAAGACACAGTAAGTTGGGGACACAGGAATGTTGGGGAGCACAGGAATGTGGAGCTAAAGGAATGTTGGGACACAGTGAAGGCTGTGGAAGAAGTGAAGGCTGGGGAGCATTGAAGGCTGAGGAGCAAAGGATGGGGCAGAGCAAGCTGAGAAGTGAAGGCTGGGGAGCACAGTGAAGGCCAGACAGTGAAGGCTGGGGAGCAGTGAAGGCTGGGAAGCAAAGTGAAGGCTGGGGACACAGT